GTTGCTAGGAAGGGTCGACCAAGAATTACGAAAATTGGATTTTTTAAATGCTTTGCTAGCTGAGTATCTAGAACGATTAAGTCAACAGGGAAGACAAAATTGTCTACTTGGACAAGTACATCTTCAACAATGCCCCTAGGGACTTTGATAGATCTGTCTGCCAATTTGAGTGTAACACTGGTGGGTTTGAGTTTACCCAGACCCAATTGCTGGTAAAAAGAGAATGAGAGCAAATTGACACTTGCTCTAAGGTCTAACATTGCTTGTTCAATTTTGAAGTTTCCAATGACACATGACACGGTTGGACACCTAGGGTCTTTGTATTTTGGAGAAATTTTGTGTTGAAGCAAGGCACTGGCATGTTCTATCAAGAAAGCTCTCTTGTGGACATTCTGGCTTCTTTTTACTGTGCACAAGTCTTTCAGAAACTTGACATAAGATGGAACCTGTTTGATTGCATCTAGAAGTGGGATGTTGATTTTTACTTACTTAAAAAGCTCGTAAATTTTAGGCTGGTTATTCAACTTCTATATAGTTTTGAGTCTATAAAGAAAAGGAGCAGGAATAGGACATGAGGGTCCCTTTTCTTTTGATGGTTCTGGGTCTTGTTCAATCACCAGTTCAAGCTCCTCCTCAATTACAAGTTCAAGCTCTACTGGCTCAGGTTCAACTGGTATTGACCCAGGTTTTGGCTTGGGCTTAGTCTTGTGGAGTTTCCATGATTGCAGGATTTTCCACCTGGAATTGGCCTTGTGGTGGTTTTGGTTGGGTAGGAAACTTGCCCTTCTCATGAGTGGTCATGGATTGGGTCAATCTTTGGATATGAATTTTGAGATCCTCGAAAGATTAAGTGGTCTAGGTTTTGAAATTAGTAAAAGCCTTAGTGGAACTATTGTTATAGTTCATTTGGCTGTGCATAAATTGATTCAGAGTATCCTCAAAGCTCCTCTTTTGTGGTGGTTGATATGGTTGATATGCAAGAGTTCCTTGAGGTGGTGGTTGCGAACCTTGTTGTTGGTTCATGGGAGTTGGTTGTGTGTTTCTCCAATTGAAGTTCGAGTGGTTCTGACATCTTGGATTGTTTGTTTTAGAGTACGGGTTGGTGTAAGGCTTGTTGAAGTTGGAAACGACATTTGTTTGTTCGAGCAAAACCTCTTTGAATGCCATAATGGTTGGACACTCCCTAGTAGGGTGTCCTGTCAGTGCACAAATCTTACACTTGTTCTATGGGAGGGCCAACATCAACTTGATGAACTTTTTTATCTCTAATGCTTCAAACTTTTGAGACAAGGTGGACATTTTTGCTCTTAGGTCATCATTTTCTCTCAAGACATACTTACTTCCTTGGGAAGTGGATGGTTTGGCTTCAACAATGGTAGGGGAGACTTAATCCCACATCTGAGAATTGTCAGATATGGTATCAAAAAAATTAAATGCCTCCTCCAAACTCTTGCTCATAAATTCTCCTTGAGCCATCATTTCAACAAATTGACGTAATCTAGTGGGCAAGGATTCATAGAAAAATCCTACCAAAGTCCAATTCTCAAAAGTATGGTGCGGGCAAGACTGGAGAAGATCTTTGAATCTCTTCTAACTTTGGTAAAATGTTTCTCTTTCTTTGACCAAAAAATTCATGATTTGCCTTTTCAATGTATTAGTGTGGTGTAAAGGGAAAAAATTTCTGAAAAATTCATTTTGTAGTGCCCGCCAATCAGGTATTGAAAGAGATTTAAAGAATTTAGCCATTGCTTAGCTTTATCCTTTAGAGAAAATGAAAAAAGTTTCATTTTGGCTAGCTCAGAATTGTCTTGAAAGGTTCCATATACTTCCTCAAATTTTTTTATGTGCAGATATAAGTTTTCTGTTTCAAGTCCATGGAATTGAGGGAGCAGTTAAACTGTCTCCAGTAAAGAGGAGTGCATTTTCAAGAAAGATAAAACAAGAGGGGACACTATTTCTTGTGGGATTTAAGTAATCCCGCAAAGTTTGAATGTTAGGCACTTCTCCCTCTCTCATAGGAACTTCTCCTTGTCTTTCATTATTTGTCATTCTAATTTCACAAGAGACCACTACTGATCTAGGTGAAGGTGGTTCTGGTTAATTCACAGATCTAGACGATTCTGCCGACAAATTTTGATAGTGAGAAGCGTCCTCAAACATAAAATTAAAATAAATTTATACACAGTGAAGCAAGTATCTATACAAAAAGAGAGGTCTTTTTACCTTTTACCTTAAAACACCTTTTATGGTTCCCCGGTAATGGCAACAAAAAATTGGCTTGATCCGAAATATGTACACCTAAGTACAGGCGATCAAGCTGTAGCAATAATTCGGTCAAGTCCAGAGTCAAATCCACAGGGAACTATGATTGGTGTTTTGAAGTGAGTAGTAATAGAGACCAAGTAACTGGAAACTTTGAGAGTTTGAAGTTACGAGATTTCCTGAATAGAATATAAGATTCTTTTTCAAGAGCTTTCTAGATAAAATATAAGATAAATTCAAATGTAAAACAATCACTCTTTAGCTTGAGGATCATAATATGTAAGTAATCATCCAGTTTGTTATACTTTTGCTTTATAAATCAATTAACTCTCATGTCAACAACAAGTTAATCAAAAGATAAAGATGGACTATGTAAATTAAGCACATGGTTCCGATGCCTTCCTAGAAGTTTACAAGAATTGTCTATGCCGAGACTCAACCCGTCTACAAACAAGCAAATATTTCTACAAGGTATCTAACCATGGCATTAATTTTTATTCTTTAGATAAAGCACAATAATGGTGAAGATTGAAATGTTGCCATAAAGATCTAGTTGGGGTACTTGCCTTGAACTAACAAGTCTTTCTATGCAAGAGTCATCTGTGACATAGAGAGACCTCACGGTTATACAAAGTATCTTAGATTTGCTAGATACATTCAATCATTCAATGAGCAAGTGAAATATAAAGCATTAAAGCATAAAAGGAATGCACATATATAACTTCCGGATAATTTATACATATTCATCACCTCTCACTAGAGAGTGAATGAGGAACTACTCACTCTTCATGGCTTTGGTAAAACTAGAAAAGTGAGTGATACTCATCCCTCCAAGTGGAGAACTTACAAGATAAAGTGCAATAAGCGAGGAGCCGATCTTCAATGAAGAATGAGTAAATCACATTTCACCCTTCATGACTTTGGTAAAGTTCTAGAAAAATGGAAGAGTTTCACCCTTCTAGGAAAGAAGGAAGCTCAAGCAATGGAAGTGAAAGACATAAACAATGAAAGTAGAAGAAAGTTAGTCACTTTTGGAGGGTGGTTTCATTAACCAACAAATGGAGGGTTGTTTCCTCAACCAAAAGATGGACTAACTCTCTTGATACAAGTAAATATAACATACATCTAAGACTAACTACATGGGTGGGAGTCTAAGCCTCCATCAAAACTCTCTAAAAAAGGTCCCCTTTCAAGCTCCCACAATGGGAGTATTTATTGGCAAGGAAGAAGAAGGGGGTGGTGAAAGAATAGTGTATGCCACCCAAGTCCAAGTGAAAACCAACCAGTCTGCAGTCTGTCTATGGAGAACATTCGAATGTGAGTTGGCATTCGAACGTGGTTTCTTTTTTTTGCTTTATGGACGTTTGAACATTGTATGGCGTTCGAATATTTCTTATGTCTTTGCTTTATGGATGTTCGAACGCCAGATGGGGATTGAACCTCTCACTCAAATGGCCTGTGGTCTTCTGTGGAAACCTATTTCCACACTCTATGTAGAACTTGGCACTTTGCACTCATCACCCTAGTGTTCAATCAATTCAAGTGGACTTTCGAACGTGAGTTGGCATTCGAACATGGTACTCAAGTACTTCAAGGTCTTCCTTCTTGGCTGCAACACGCCATATCTCAGCAATCTGATCTTTTCATAGTTAAATTGGATGTTCAAAAATTCATGATTTGTTCCAAGCTTTTCCAATTTTGTCCCCAATATGCTAGTGTTACATCCAAGTGTGATTTTTGTTGTTCTTGAGCCCTTGTTCACTTTAGGACCTGAAATGCCATCACTTAAACTCCATTAAAGTACAATTAGTCCTAAAAAGGCATAGTAATGAAGTACTAATCAGCTACAAGTGTAATGAGTTTGGACACATAGCTACAGAGTGCTCTAGTGCTAAGAAGAAGGACACGCCCAAGGAGAAGAGAAAAGCGTTAAAGGCCAAAGTGAGTGAAAGCGAAAGTGAGTCCACAATAAGTGTTGACTTCTCATTGTCAAGTGATGAAGAAAACTTCACAGACTTTGTAGGTTCACACTCCTCCCCGCACGAAAAACTTCCACAAATGAAGATGGGGAAGTTGAGTCTAGCCCCACTATGGACATAGATGACTTAGTTGTAGAAGTCTCTACTAATGAGGATGAGACCTAGAGTGTTGAAGACCTCCAGATGCTTAAAATGAATTCTATAAGGAGTGTCTAAAACAAGGTGAGAAGTTGTTTTCATTGAGCATAAGGCTCAAAATGAATGAAGATGAAAAGAAAACATTTCATATAGACTTTGTTAAGTCCAAGGCTCAAATTGTTAGGCTTGAGGAGAAGAATAAGTCCCTCCATGACAAGGTGAGTTTCCTTGAAATAGAGTGTCATGAACTTTAAGCTTGTCAAGTCTAAGAAGAATCTTGATTCAAAATGTGCTAAACTTGATAAAAATCTTTGTGAATCGAATGAACTATCTAATAGACTTTACCAAAGCAATGAAAAGTTAGATAGAATGTTGTCTGTGGGTAAAAATGTAGGTGATAAGCATGGTTTAGGCTACACAAATGAACACACCCACACTTCTTCCAAGACCATGTTTCTAAAAAGTATCATCAATGCTTCACCCCCATAAGTAGGCACAAACACTAAAAATTCTAATAGTGGCAAGGGTAGGCATTCAAAGAAGAAGGTTATTCATAAAACCCAAGTGAATCATGATGTGTGGTATACTTGTGGAGAGCATGGTCATTATAGGAAACATTGCATGCAAAATAGGGATGACTTGAACAAGAAACTTGTGCATCTAGCTAATCAATCCAAAGCCTTGAATTCTCAAGTTTTAAATTTCTTGAAACTTTTGGAGTCCAAGCATAGTCATGCATCATCATCTTCACTAGGACCACAAACTAGAGTACACAAGGCTCCTTCTAACCCCAAAGACAAGATTGATCTACACACTTTTAGGGAGAAGAGAATGAGTCCTCCACCCATTTTCCAATCTAACCTGAGTTTTAGGAAGGGAAAGCAAGTATGGTTGATCAAGGAAGACTTTGAGAAACTCACTATTTCAACCAAGTTAGAGGCCCCGAGTGCTATTAGTAAGGTCACGACTTTTAAGAAGTAGGAGGAATGATGAGTGTATGAACCTACGTAATTTTGCATGCATTTCATCAAACACCCTTGGGTCATATATTTATGTATATATTTTTTGTTGTTTAGTTTTTCATTTTTTTTAACATATGAAAATAAAAAACATTTGAAATTTGAAAAATCAAAAAAAAAAAAAAATAGAATAATTCGAAAAGAGTTTTAATGTCAACTTTGACATTCAGTTTTAGGATTTTTGTTAATTATTTTATTTTTGCACTTCTTTTTTTGGTTGCATATTTATGCATGTTTTTTTGGTATATGTTTATCTTGAAAAACCCAAAAACATTGAAAAAGAATAAGGCAAAAATATTTTCTTTTGTTTGTGTTTTTCATTTGTTCATGATCATGATAATTTACACCTTGATTTGCATTGAAATTGTTTTATCCTTAAGTCAAAGTTGAAATGTGTATTGCTATAAGTCATAGTAGGAGATAGAGAATTTAATGGCATAAATCCAATTCCATGATTCATTAGCCAAAGTCTTTTTCATCCTAGCATGTTTGGACAGTATTTGTCTTTGAAAAAGTCAAAACCAAGTACACGCTTGTCATTCACTTTCACACTTAGAAGTTTGAATTATTGATAATCTTGAATGACTCTAAATGTTGGTGATAGGCGAATACATGGCTAAAGGTTATTTAAACCTCAATCCCTTAAAAAATTTCGAAGGCCAAATTATGTGAAAAGAGCCCAATGTGGCCAAATCTAAAAAACTGAGGCAATAATAAATGGCTAAAAACAATTGCACTTAAATTGTGAGAGTACTTAAGCTTAAATGTTTTTACTAATATGTAAAACTCATAGAGCTCATGTTTATCATGTTTAGAAGTATAAATTAGAGTACATAATTCACAATCGTGTTAATTGAAGCCATACAAAATAAAGGATAAATGAGAGTGAAAGTTGTCAAAAAGAGAATATTTAGTATACTCACTAACCGATCATGTATTCACTTAGACCATGCATTTAAGATTTTATGATGAGCTTATTGTGTTAAATTAATTGGAATCCTTTTTGTGTTGAAGGTTAATTTCACACTCGTTGCACTTGAATTAGTCAAAGTTGAACAAAATTCACATACGTGTGAATGAAATTGAACCTAAGTGAAGAAACATTGCTTTAGAATGCATGCATTTGAGTTCAAAATCTTTGAATATGCCTTAGTGTAGTGTATTGAAATGATGAATTTTGGATGGATCTTTTAAGTTGTGAATATGTGTGATTTTCATGATTATTTATTTTAAGCATTTAATGATTAAAATTAAAAATTGCATATAATTTTGATCCATATTCATCCATGTATTGAATTGAATTGTTTTGTACATAATTGACATCATGCATGCATGTTAGGATTGATTGGGAATGACCTAAAGTGGGCTAAACAATAGAAAAACAGAGTTACTATACTTCAAGAGTCGCTCGAGCGTCCTCGAGTTTTCAGCAGCCAAGGTTTAAATTTTGCGTTTTGGACGACTCTTGGTAGCCCAAACCCAGTCAATCACATCTTAAGGTCTCCATAAATATCACCCAAGGTTTCTAAACTCTCTCAAACATCTCCTTTTGAGATCTAAGGTATATTCATTGTTTTACCTCGAATCCACAACAAGTGAGACTTGGATTCTTCGAGTGAGATTGAGATGGCCACAAGAATAGAGAAAAGACCCAAGGTTGAGGATTTCTATGATAATATACAACAGAACTTTGATGAAGCTACTTAATTCATGACACAGGAGTTTGCAAAGAGATTCATGCAGGAATTCACTCTCAGGCCAGTGTTGATTGAAAGGGGAGTAAACACCATGGAGGTCAATTTTCTGATTGTGGAAAATCTAACCAATCGTGGATGGACCTGAATGTTTATAGACTCAGTAATGTGTGATGATAGTGGTGAGAGAGCTCTATGCACATATACGTGACCCAGTTCCTTAAGTTGATCACTTCACTACATATATTTGGGGTTTTGAGTTCACGATTTCTACCCCTCTCGGAGATACCACACTTGGCTTGCCTAGAGTAGAGAATACTATAGAGGTGTGAAACCCATAGAAAACTTGCCTCCTCTGCATGTTTTGGCCACTGAGTTATACAATGTTGATCATCCTAGTAATTGGGTTATATTGAATTTTCAACTAAAATATTTGACTTCGAATTATATGATGCTAAGTCTAGTGGGTAACTACAATATAGAAATGAAAACCCATATCTCTGACTTTCCTACCTAAAAGGCACACTTGTTTTATGCTTTAGGGAAGGGATTTGATCTTGATTTGCCGATGATGATATTTAAGTTTATTCGACGAGCCTTTTTAGAGGAGAGAATGATGCAAATCATAACACAACTTCAAGGGATTTAGTTCAAGTTCCAAGTGGGCCGGTTACAAGAGCACGAGCAAGGAAGTTTAAAGAGGTACTCAATGGACTAATTCAAGAGGCATGAAATCAAGCAAGTTTGTGGAGGCCCATTGACCATGATCCACTTGGGCAACAAAGATTGATCAACATGATTCAAGTTCTAGAAGAATCCAGCTAGGGGCTAAGGCTAAGATTCAATTGGTTTATTGTTGTTAAAGCCTCCAATTTGTCGAAAGGATTAGAATTATTAATAAGTGGGCTTGAGGATGCTTAGCCCACATGTTTTATTTCTTATAAAGTAGGGTTTTCAAAGTTACTGTAGCGTGCACTGTTCATGCTATAGTACGTGCACTATTCTTTATTTTTAGGGTCTAATTGTAAGGCTTGTATGCTAAGTACTTTCATTTTTCTATTTAGGCATGTGCTCGGCCATTTAAAGGGCTGAATGTCTTTCCTTTTTTCTTCAAGAGTCTTAGGAAAGTAAGAGATATTTCTTTACCCACAAGTAAGAGATATTTCCTAAGTAGGATAGCTATTTTAGGAAGATTCCTAATCCTTGTAATGACCAGCCTATAAATAGGCATTCAGATCAATGAAAATGCAGATCATTATTTAGCAAATTTTGAGAGTGTTTTTTCTTTGGTTCTTTGAAGAACTAAACGAACTTATCGGAATTCTCCGTGGCGTTCACCAACGACTTATCAAACGGGTTTCCACACTGTTTGTGGCGTCTACCTTTATACCGAGGTTCTTGTTTCACAAATAGTGGGTTGAGGTCTATATACCAAAGTTCTTGTTTGTTGTAAACAACGGGTCAAGGTCTACCATAAAATCTGTTCGTTAAACGATCTTGAGTTCTTTTCGTTGTTGGTTCTCGTTATTCCGGCGGGTCACGCATCATTTGGTATCAAAGCAAAGGCTCGAGTTCAGGTTTGCCTGTCGCTTAAAACCTTTCTCTTCGTTATTCCTTGTTCCTTTCTTTTCGTTATTCTGTGTTCTTTTAGTTCCTAAAAATTCGGTTCACATACCCTCAGTGTAGCTGAATTTCCTTTACCCTATTCCGCTCGTATTTTGTTGGTTCTACTTATTACAAATTCATATTTTTTTACCACAAAAGTTAGTTGCTGGTCAAAAAAAGAAAAAAGGGCAGATAGAAGTCAAAAAAAAAAAAAAAAGCCAGATTGTTTGTGTTCATCCATTGTCCAAAAAAAAAAAATCAGATTGTTTGTAAATCATCCATCTTGGGTCCAATAAGTCCGAATACCATCTCACCCCAAAATCAGGTTTTTTTTGGAAGTCTTGCAAATTTGTGCTTCTGAAAATCTAATCAGCTGTGTTCCTTGAATTCTTGCTCTTCAAACCTGAAATTCCTTGATGAGTTCTTGGTGAACTGTTGCTGGAAATTTTGAGAATTGTTTGTTTAGTTTTAGAAGAACTGAAAGAGAAATTATTGAGTGGAAAAAGGCAAGAGTGGTGAGAACATTGGAGGGTAAAAAAAAAAAGGCCATGTATTTTGACTGAAACACGAGTGTAGAGTGATCCACATTCTTGAGTGTAAACACGTAAGGGAGAGAATTGTGAGGTTCTTTTATTATTATTATTATTATTTGTTTCTAACTTTGTTTTGCAGCAATCATGTCTCACAACAATGATACGGATCTTGCTGACCCAAAATTGTTTATGGAGGCCATGATGAGTGAGATGAGGTGTGTGATGAAGTTGGAACTAGACCAAGTTCATGAACAGATAGATCAGATGGAGAAAACACAAGAGAGGCAGCCACAAAACGTCCCTAATGTGCGTAGAAGGGAAAGAGTTCAACCAAGGGAAGTAAGGGAAGAAGATGAAGAGCCTTATGGGGTTGGTTTTAATGAAGAAGATGATCAGAATTCTGTTGTTAGGAGACATGTAGGGCAGTTTAGAGAAGCTAGGAACCGGGAAGATAACAACTTGGGTGGTATTAAGATGAAAATTTCATCCTTTCAAGGTAGATCCGATCTTGAAGCATACCTTGAGTGGGAGAAGAAGATGGAGTTCGTATTTGACTGCTATAACTATTCTGATGCAAAGAAGGTAAAATTAGCAGTGATTGAGTTTTCTGACTATGCTATTACTTGGTGGGATCAGCTTGTTATAAACCGGAGGCGAAATAGAGAACGTCCAATAAAGACATGGGAGGAGATGAAAGTGGTGATGAGAAAGCGGTTCATTCCAAGCTACTACAATCGAGAGTTGTACAAAAAAACTACAAGGTCTTAGACAGGGAAGCCGGAGTGTGGAGGATTACTACAAAGAGATGGAGATTGCTATGATCTGAGCTAATGTAGAGGAAGATCGAGAGGCTACCATGGCTAGGTTCTTACTTGGATTAAACCGGGAAATCCAAGATAAGGTGGAGATGCAGCATTACGTGGAGTTGGAAGATATGGTGCACATGGCCATCAAAGTGGAGCAACAACTCAAGAAGGGGGGTAGGTCACGTGCAGCCCATAACTCTAGTTCTAATTCTTGGAAATCGAGTTATACCAAGCAACTGAACAAGTCACCAACGTCCAAAGCCGAGCCCAAGTCCGCGAACACCAACCACATTCCTCA